TTGATAACGTTTTTATGTATATCTGAACAAGGATATGGCGCTAGCTGGAAGGGTTTGTGCGGTCTGACTTAAATCTCGTACTGCATCGTGCTAGTTTGACATAATTCTCTCATTAGTGGAACGAATACCTCAGCGGTCTGCTACGTACACTTGACGAGGCTAGTGCTAGAGGTTTCCAAAGGGCCATACTAGACTTGATCTATGTTAAGTGCCACCTGTTGTGCTTCCAACCGTAACCCACTGCTCGTTCCTAAAATAGAACATCTCTTGTAATAAATCCAGGATGGAGTTTGCCGCACACATAGTCATTGCAACGAGTCTTAGAAATGTCATCCCTGTCCTTTTCTAGTTGGACATCCATCGTAAAGAGATCTGTGGCAACATTAGCTGGTCTAAGCTGAAATCAAGATTCGTGCAGCAAGCAACAGCTCATTCCACAAACGATATGGTAGCGCATGTAAAAGAAAAGGGAAGCCGGCCTCTTGAGCCCCCCGCTATTCTCGGTAGTCCCTACCTTTGATGTACGTGCCTCACGTGCCTCATCTATGACCGAATAGTACTAAATATTATTTTTTCGCTTGAACATAATAAATCAGAACTTTTTCCAAATTTTGCCTCATCTTTTCGTGACCTGTCTCGCACCTCTGATGTCCGTGAATACTGGAGAAAGACTCACTTCACAACATTCTGCAAAGATCTGCGTAAGTTTTAAACGTATGGCTCCATAGAACTTGGCGTGAGGATGGATGAATAAGCTCGATGACGGTGGTTACTATTACCTTCTACGTAGTGGAAGCACTGACCCTTTTAAACAGCAGGGAGTGCTTTGAAAGGAACTTGGTAATGGGCTACTTTTCGTTTTGGCGTTTGAAATATAGCCCCGAATATAATTTTCCCTGTATCGTTGAAATGTCAGAGCATGCCTAAAGTATGTCTCTGAATTGCTGGACGATGAAGGATAGGTACCTGTATGTTTACGACTGCTTCTCAGCGTCACTACGTAGCCCCCTTGCTACTGTCAAGATCTTCTAGGTTTTGAGGATGATGTGAGCAGACTTTTATTGTAAGTAGACTTTACATTGTTAGAGAAAAACCTCTAGGTCCTTGTGTTTTTAAACGCTGAAAGTAAGCAGCTCTGGTAGTTGCACTTGGGCCTTTAAGGCTAAAATTAATGCACTGAAAAAAAATCACAACTAGAGGTAAAGTCATAAAAATTATAAGACAGATAATGAATAACAAAACCATTTTGAAAAATAGTTTGATCAAAATGTCAACGAACCGCTTAAGCTAATACGAACTAAACGAGTACATTGTAGTGTAATTACAATATCCTTCAATCGATAAAATACGAAACAAAATAACGACATGATTTAGCTGCTCATAGTTAACAAGTGCCAAACACAACAAACATAAATCAACAATTTATCTGATTATGCACAATGAGGTAGTACAATTCTCGGGTAGTTCTTTGGTAAAAAAGTAGATGCATAGCTGCTAGGTGCATGTGCATACGCAAGAGAGTTTCTGTGCAAGTATTCATTTTTCGTACCCGTAAAAAAAAAAGTACAAAATGTGGGTAAACACGCATAACATTAATTTAGAACTTAGTTTTCGTTATTAAAAAAAATTTATAACGGTCCACTATATCCATTTAAAAATATCAATTTACTTTTGTCAGTTTCGTAACGTCGATACTGTCACAGTCTGAAGGGGTACTTGCCATATTTTTAACTAACAGTCATATTATTTGACAGTCAAGACAATGTTGTAAGTATATCTCTTTTCGTAAGTATAAATGTTAAATAAGGCTGTAAAACCTTAATTCCAAAAATAATGTTTTATGATAAAAAATACTCATGCTCTATACATATTAAAAGTCAATAACAAATTGCACACATGTTCCTTAAAATTCATGGCAGCTAAATATTATAAAAAAAATTTTTTTAAATATAAAAGCTGGCAAGAGATCACAATGGGTTACTAGAATATTGTAGCTTGCTTATTAATTTATGTATAAAATAAAGAAAGGCGCTAGCAAGTAAGCGTGTAAGGTTATTGGGACTAAATAGAATGTTGGGTAACTAGTAATTATAATCTCAGAATCTACTTTATTCTGTTATACTGCAGAATCTTACATCATGTAGGTGCCAAGACAACATTTAACATGGATCCTGATGGTGTCTATAATATCATCGCAATTTCGCAACAACTTAACTTGATTCCAATACGAGTCATGTTCTGAAAAATTTAATTGTATGACAGTTTTAAAAAACTTTTTTTCCTAAAAAATCAAACTTACATTTAAAGACGCTTACTTTTGAAGGTAAAGAAAAGTAAGGATCGGAACACACATTAAATATACGTTGAGGAGAACAGTGGACATTAAAAGAGGCACAATACCAAGGATGCAGAACATTTATCGAGATACTATACCGAGGATGTAGAAGAATTGTAGAATTCAAAATACCTTTAAATGTAAGCATCAAATGTTAGTTTGACTTATTAGAGAAAAAAATTTTTCAAGACTATCATACAAGTGAATTTTTAAGAACATGACTTTTATTAAAATCCAGTTAAGTTGTTGCAAAATGTCAACGAGATTATAGGCACCGTCGATGTCCATGTAACGTGTTGTCTTGGCACCTACATGGTATATCATCGTATTTATAAATATGTATAAATATAATGAATTAATTGTTACACTTCTTTTAAACTTTCACTAAATCTTATTCTCTTATAATNAAGTCTTTACGCAGATCTTAGGTTAGATCTAAGTAGATATTTTTTAGTAGGATATTTATGTCCTAATATAAGTCTCAAAGAACTAAGTAAAAGTAATTTTTAAAATATACCAACATTTTGCAATGGAGATGATTAAATTAAAATGATATACATATGTTTACGAACAAACGTATACACGTCAATTAAAAATACTCCCTTTTTCGTCATAATAGTAAGTAAATGTATAAACTGCATGATGACAAATTAGTTTTGATTTCATTAATAAATAATTTTTCCTAATATTTTTAACTATATCTTGCAATCATTAATGTGATAAATGAAAAAATTACATACTAAGATCATATGTTACAATAGTATATTTTTTATGATAGGTGTGTGGCATACAATGTATGCCCAGGTTATACGGTTTTCAAATGTTGTTTTCCAGAGTAAGAACGACAAATTTTTGAGCTTAATGCCCAGATTGTAGTCTTAGGCCTGTGGGCAGATTTTTTCGTCCTAGGGCTAAAAATGTATTTTTCCATCCTCGGATGGTTTTGGGAGGCTGGTACTTCCTCGGGCGAAAAAGCAGTTTTTCGGAACTCGTTCGAAAAGTTTCCTTTACGAACCTCGTTACATCCCTCGCCTTCGGCTAGGGCCGCAAACCTCTCGGTTCGCAAACAGAGACTTTTCAAACTCGTAGGAAAACTACTATTTCTTATATGTGGGCGTACTTTCCAACTTTGGGCCTCACTTTACGATGAAGTAATTTGCTACAATTTACTTTACTGCTTTAGGGTGCAAAGTGATCACTGGGAAAAAATATGCCTACAAGCTTACAGTACGACTTTGCACCTTCGGAAAAAATGACGTACGTTGAGCCAAAACATACAGATACCCTACCGTTCGGGTGAGATTGATTACTTTGCAGCCATAATATAAAAACTACGAATTTTGAACCTTAAAATCAAATCACATTAACTTGATAAAAAATGTAATAAGTAAATTACTTCTTGTGTTAAAAAAAGTTTCGTTTCTTTTTTTTCTAAATTTTATTAATTTCTGAATATCGTTGATATTATACTATGATTAGTAGCTAGAAATTCTTATAGATCGATTATAGGCACCGTCGATGTCCATGTAACGTGTTGTCTTGGCACCTACATGGTATATCATCGTATTTATAAATATGTATAAATATAATGAATTAATTGTTACACTTCTTTTAAACTTTCACTAAATCTTATTCTCTTATAATTGTGGATTTTTCATCCTGAAGAGTCTGTCAGCAGAACAGGGAAGTATTGCTTTAATGCAAATAAATTGTTAATAAATAGTCATGATCTACAATACCAAGTTTGTTTCTTGATATTAACTATAAAGAGTAAAGAGCAAGTGAATAGAGTACATAGTTAAGTATGCTTCATTTAAAGTTTACATAAATGTTCGAGCAAGAAAATCTGTTGGGTTACTCGGGATGAGCAGCTTTAAATCCCATTCATTTACTTAGGAAATAAATGCTCTGGCAATGAAGTGCGTCAGATTTATGTACCTTAGTTGCTTTGGTTCTTAATGCTTAAAGGTAATAGAAATAGAAGAGCAAGTTAATCCTTCGAATTATTGAGATTTTCCTGTTTTGGATTTGTGATCAAGCGTAATTCATACTTATTACCATGTAAGAGCTTCAGAGTATTTGTCTACTAAGAATTTAGTTTTTGGATATAATTTTGTTTAACTGGGTACTAGGTTATAAACTTTAGAAGTATTATAACGAAGTACATAAATTTTTAATCAAGTTGCATAAAAATAGCACAAAGTAATTGCTTCCAAAACGAGTAATAAACCTAGAGTAAAAGTACTTGGGTTGTAAGAAGGAAATAACGCCTGATCTGAAATTACTTACTTTTTATATGTCTTGGTTATAAAATATTTATTTAATATTCTGATAACAAAATTATGGTTCGTAAATAGTTTTTATCAACAAAGAATCACAACTAAATAACAAAACTTTTTTTGACTCTTGTAGTATTAGAGATTTACTAAAAAATTTACTAATACTGCTCAATTCACATCTAGTTATTCAAGGTCTCTTTCTTAATAGTATCGTAAAGTTATAGTGTATGAAAAAACTTAGTTTATATTATACTGTAATCATATGATTTTATAAGCCCAAATCTGTACAAAAATTATGACTTCAGTATTATTCAAAAGAAACAATACAAGAAACAGTTTGAAAAATTTAGTTAAAGTATTTTTAATCCAAAATATCGTGTTTCAAGGTCAAGCATTAATAGAAATGGGTGAATCTCTAAGGCAGATGGCTGATGTAAAATACTCATTAGATGATAACATTAAACAGAACTTTTTAGAGCCATTACACCATTTACAGACGAAAGACCTGAAAGAAGTAATGGTGAGATATTTTAGAGAGTAGTACAATATTTATTTGTTTGCATTACATTCAATTTTACCTTCATTGTATATTAAAATGACATAATTAATTTCCGCAATAGCATCATCGTAAGAAACTACAAGGGCGGCGTTTAGACTTTGATTGTAAACGAAGACGACAAGCTAAAGGTAAGAGTAACATACTGTATACCAAAACTGTTTTAGGCCTAATTTATTCCATAATAATCAAAAATCATTACGAAAATAGTTTATATTAAAACTTAGTATTTTACAGTATTTAAAAAAGGCATTCTTAGGTCAATGTATCTTGTTGCATATTTTGGTGATTGAACTCCTTATTTTCTTAATCTTACTAATACATAAAGCAGAAGCGCTAAAACCGTTGTAATTGCTAACCACGAAAACTACTAGACCGATTTCGTTGAAATTTCGCACACTGATTCATGATACTTCCTAGATGGTTTTAGCATAGTTTTTATCTTAAAAAATTTAATAACAGTAGCAATAAATGAGCTCANATTTTGTAATTTTATATCAATTAATAAAATATTATACGAGATAAAAATCAATGTAATTCGTACGTTGATGTACGTAGCTATGTCTGTAGGTATGTAACCAACATTTTATAGGACCACCCGAGAGGCTGTCAACATGATCCAAATGATTCTGAATTACGAATAAATTATTTCAAATTGTGAATCATTTTTGAATTATTACTATAAATTTCATAATTAAATTGAATGATGATTTTGTATTAAAGCATTGGTGATTAAAAACCAAACTGTTATTTATTTATTTATTATTATTTATTAATAAAACGTACCTCTAGGCGAGCAAGCATTCGTGATTAGAAGCCCAACAGTTTTTTTGTTGTTATTTATTAATAAATCGTGCCCTTATGCGAGCAAAAGCATCGGTTATTAGAAACCCATTTGTTTTTTAGTGTTATTAATGAAAAAATACTCTTTTAGGTTAGCAAGCATTGGCGATAATAACTTTTACTGTTTTTTTTTTATTTATTATGAAACTATACTTTGGGAAAGCAAGTATTGTCAATCAGAAGCCCAAGTGTTTCGTATTATTATTTATTAATAAAACGTACCTCTAGGCGAGCAAGCATTCGTGATTAGAAGCCCAACAGTTTTTTTGTTGTTATTTATTAATAAATCGTGCCCTTATGCGAGCAAAAGCATCGGTTATTAGAAACCCATTTGTTTTTTAGTGTTATTAATGAAAAAATACTCTTTTAGGTTAGCAAGCATTGGCGATAATAACTTTTACTGTTTTTTTTTTATTTATTATGAAACTATACTTTGGGAAAGCAAGTATTGTCAATCAGAAGCCCAAGTGTTTCGTATTATTATTTATTAATAAAATGTATTTTCAGGTGAGCAAACATTAGTAATTAGAAATCCAACAGTATTAAGTATTATTGATAAATAAAATATTCTCGTCAGAGAGGAAGTACCGGCGTTTTGAAATCACATTGTGTTTTATATTTCATTATTAATAAGACGTGCCTTTAGGCAAGCAAGGATCGGTTATTTCAAACCCATCCGTTTTTTCGATTGTTTGTAATAAATAAAATACTCTTACAGGCAAGCAAGCACCAGTGATTAGATATACAACTTTTTTTTAGTGATGTTGATGAAATAAATATGCTCTTAGGTGAGCAAGCATTGGGGACTAAAAATTGCCTAAAATAACATTTTTGAGATAAATTTATTAAAAAAACATTTGGGTCCTAAATCACTAATGGTAGTTTGCCTAACATTTGATAATATATATTTATAATACTACAAAACTGTTGGATTTCCAATGGCTGATGGTTGCTCGCCTAAAAGCCTATTTTATTTATCGAGAATACTAGAAAACAGTAGATTTCTTAATCACCGATGCTTGATCTCGTAAAAGCTTATTTTATCATTTAATAAACTTGTTCTGGAAGCAAATTAACAGTCAATGATTGTTAACCAATTTAGATTAATTTGTAAAATAGTTGTATATTTACACTTAGATCTTACGAATAATTACAGATCTCCAAAGCACACGCTTTAGGGTAGTAGAATTGTACTCTATAAGAATGTTATTGATAAACTTCTTTATGTAAGAAAATACGTTCCTTCATAATAATTAACTGTTGTTTTGCTTTTCACAACTGCTTACAAATGACATATTTTATTTTTAGATTTTATTCCAAAATCTTTAATTGTTAAATGATTTTTTTTTGTGTGCAATAGTAAAAGTGTGAAAAAAGAAAACAAATTTTAGTGATGCTGGGTTGAGCCTGCTACCTCTAAAACCGTAAGACATAGTTTTCATTAATACGCTGCCTAAGCCTATGCGAGGCATGTCAGTCCGGTAGCATGTAGGCAGCTTGTAGGTAGCATGCACTTAGTGCAAGGTGAGTATACATATTTATTTACTTAAGAATTCTTTGCCCATGTTCTTAGAAATAATAAGCAATAGATCGATTTATGGATAAAACCTATTAGAAAGACACTAGTCTTGCTTATATATAAAGAAAAGTCGCTAAAACCGTTGTAATCGCTAATCGCAACAACTACTAAGCCCATTTTGCTGAAATTTTGCACACTGATTCATTGTTATTCCGAGATGGTTCTCGCATAGTTTTTTTCTCAAAAAAGATAAAAACAATAGCGTAAAGCAGCAAAGTTTTGCTAAGATAAGGTAGCTATGAACTTTAGTTCAGTAGGATCCGCTAGGTGGCGTCGAGATGAAGTTGAAGCCACCCACAATCAAAGATAGTGAAAAGTGGTTATAAGATGCCTCATCGAGTAGCCGATTGTCGAAGTAGTTCATTGGAAGCTCACCAAGCACAGAGGTGTTAGTCGTGCTGCTGGGCATCCCGGCTACCGATGACACTCTTTTTTCATAGGCTAGCGAAATAAATCAATTTTTACCCCTGATCGCTAAGATAACCGAGTGCCATGAGAAAATAGGCATTTGGATTGTTAACCTCAACGTTTCTGGCGAAACACTAGGAGACGCGTTTAACTAGAGCACAACCTGCTCCATGAATTCAGAGCTTTGTAGCCGTACAACCATCTGGCCTGGTGCCGTCAAAGAATTTTCTACTTTGAGTGCAAGCCAGGAAACACAGTCCAGAAGAGTACGAGTAGCCACAACAGCTGCCTTCTTAGTGGTCATCCCGAAGGCATTCTACAGGGAAGGTATTCTCTAGGCCCACTTTCCTGACTGACGATTAGTGGTTGGTTATCTGAGGAACGATCTGAAGACAAAATATTCTTTGGTCAGTGGCGTACCTCCCTCTGTCATGGTCTCCGTACATAAAGATTCCGAGGGTAAGAGTCAAGCTACCCGCAACCAGCTCTTTATCATCAAGAATAATGATAAGGAATAGCTAGAAGTTTCACTACTGGCTCTTTTCAGGGATACTTTAAGTATTAACGTTCCCTACTTAACTATAAATCTCATAGATTCTTTTAAGGGCCACCTAAATTTAAACTACCTTGCCAACAAATATATTTTTACTACCATGTCCGAAAAAAATTTGTTGACTAAAAGACTATGTAAAGCCGGCCCCTATTAAACCAAGTCAGTCATTCACTGGTAGACGTCACGAGCGGATTTGTTCGTCACAATGTTGGGAAACCAGGAATCACCGATCCCCTCGAAAGTCTGCACTGAAAGAAGCTAACAGCTATGAAGGAAAAATAAACTTTAGCCAACGAGACAGTCTCCAACGGGCAAGCATCACAAACCAGTCTCTCCACCTTAGATCACCTAAACAACTGAGTCTGCAAAAAAAAGGTGCTTTACAAGCTTTAGATACCAACGTCTTTGACGTTATACCAGAAGACGTGGGAAAAGAGCGCTACAACCAGCTCTAAAGCTTCAAACGTTGCAGTTTTCCTCTCGATGAGTGTAGTACTACAATGACAGGTCACAGAAAATCACTCTGAGGTATACAGATAATTGCATTTGTGGAGAACTTCAGTCAAGAAAGTGTTTACTTGAGAAGCTTACCAGTCCTTTTTAGGGTGGTTGGACGTCAAACTACCTTGCCAAAGAATATATTACAGCCTAATAAAGTTGAAAAAAACAGCCTTTAGGGCTCACAAAAGTCTAAACTATGCCAAAAGTTGCAAGGAGTCAAATTGAAAGGAAAACTTCAAATGCATATAATGAATACATTTTTAGGCGTCAAGACACACTGGCGACAAGTAGACTGAACACTTACCAAGATTAAGGCAGCATGAAAATTAATAAATAAAGAATTTATCAAGTGAGAGATCAGCTTTTCACTATAACGCTCATGGTTATCTATTGAATTTTTCAGATTTTTAAGTGGGTAGAATATATATTTATATTTTTGTGGCGATAAAAAATGTAGCGATTGAGCTGCAGGACTTTAACGCTGTGGTATTACAGTTCTAAGATAAAAAAAAAATTTTTTTTACTACATGTTTTTTGTGAATCTTAAATCTTTTCAGTTGTTAAATATAACCCTGCTTACAAATTGTACGGGAGAAACTGCAAATAAACGGCCTGTTAAGGCGATTATTTTATGGCTTAAGAATGCACGGTACTTTTCAGCATAATTATATTTTTTACACTTTCCACAGCCTTTTACTTAATGAAATAAACTGTATGGATTCCCAACAAATATGTTTTTAATAAGATGATTTTTGTTCTGAGAAGTGTCATCAAAAGATGTAAAACTTTTAACTAAAAACGTTTGACACTACATGTCAACGCACTACGGTGTTCCATTAAGTAATTCTTGGGCAAAGCCAAGGCGGAGGGCCGCTAGTGGTTCATAAACAACGTACATGGTAGCTTTTTATTTTTTATTTTACTTTAAATTAGAGATAAATAAAGTTAAAAAGTGAGATAATTAATTTTTCTTTACATCTGTACTCTGATTTTTGAAATTCACGCAGTATTTACAGAAGACTCTAAAACAATTCAATAAGTATTCACACGGTAACTAAACGTTGTATGAATCTTGAATCACAGTCAACAAAATAAATCGTTGTGTTTAGGTGTGTATGAGCTAAATGAAATCACTTACAGTGTTTGTGCACTACTGAATTACATAGTTATTAAATAGCACTGGAAATCAAAGACCGCAATCATTGTATCATGCATTTAACATAATAAGAAATAAAAATACTACGTTTTTAAGTTTGGTAAACCGATTTTTTTTCGGCCTTATTTATAAAAGATTTTTTGTCATACGGGATGCAGTTCACAATTTCTTTATAAATAGAAATGGATGTAAAGGACCCCGCGCAAAGCCTTAGGATATTCTCTCTCGGTTAAATTGGCTGAAAATTTTATTTATTACAGATTAAGTTATCCTGAATAAGATGCTACTTTTTTTCCAAACAAATGGCTAGTTTTTTAGAAAAAAATTGTTGAGGATGGCGATTTGTCATGAGGTTAGTTTGACAGGTGGTATGAACAATTAAAACCTTACAATGTATATATACACACACATATATGTATATTTATTGTTTTTGACTCTTGATCGCTGCTTGCACCTGCTGGAGAAGAGCGCGTGATAAATTCCTAATGAAGCAAGAGTTGACGGAGGGGTTACGCTAAGAGAGGGGTGAATAATCCCATAGCCTTAACGATGTGGTTTGAACGGTCGGATAGGCATAATCAACTGTGAAATAGACGTTTATTATTCATGCGCTCATCTTCAATTGAATATGCTTGTTAAAACCATTTAAAATATCTTACAATTTTTCACTGTCTTATTCATCATGAAAACTCTATTATTATTTTTTTTTCATTTAACTTTGATATGTAATACAATTATTCTCACATGTGATATTTTTCCTATTTTATTTATGGCACTAATAGAGTTCCTTTCTGTTTCTGCTCTTTTACTGTAGTCTAAAGGTCTAATACAAGCCCAGAACATATTTTTTATTTAGTAAGAGTCCCCGAATACTAAGTGACCATTTTATTGTTCTTAATTGATTAAAAAATATGTTATTAATAATCCCCTTCTCTGATAAGTTTCTATATATTACTTTTAAATAATTATCATAGTAAGTACACTTTACTTTTACTTTATATTATTACACGAACCTGCACCCCCTCCCACTCCCAACCTCGTAGCTGTCTCTGATGAGAAGCCGTTACCACTGATCCGACCTATTTATCAACAACTGCAGTGTCATAAGCAGTCGTGCTCTTCCTCTTACCTGGGTGGCCGTTACTACAATCCCGCTCTAATGCTATTTACCGTTGGTCCGATCCAAACCCTAAACTTAGCAGTGGTTGATGTCCTTGAGTTGCAATCCTTCCTATTAAATACTCAGATAAGTTTAATAAATTATAAATGTATTAATAATCGTTATAGTAACGCGTTACTTTCTTTCCACCAACTCCTCTTCCTTGCCTCACAGCTGGCTTTGATGAGAAGCCATCACCTCTCATCCGACCTATTTGCTAACAACTGTAGGGCCGTTAACGATCAAGCTCTGCCTCTTGTTGAAGTGAAGAACTAGAATATTACTGTCTTTAATACTCTAATACATTCTTTTAAGCAATTATTTTTGTGACGAACACTAGGATCCGATTAGCATTGAGAACTGTTTGGACTCTTGTTTTTCGAAACAAGTTGAAAGACGAGTATTGAGATCTATTCAAATATCTGTTGCTTCATTGATCTCAGTACCTTCATAATTAGCAGATTTAATGCATACCTCGTGATACATGCGACCAATTTGAGACGTACGTTAAGGCAAACCTTGAGATTTATTAAAAAATACGTTATAAGACAAAATATAAGACCAGATTTGGAATAAAGTATTTGACTCTTTTTGAAACCGTTTACATGACCTGTTCCAAGAAAATTTTCGAGACCTTGTTTGAGACGTATTATTAAATCAAATTGAAGACAAACCATAAGAGAAACATTAAAATCCATTCTCAGATCAAAATTTTTATGACATTTAAAAATTATATAACTACCACATTTAAGACGAAATATAGGACCTAATATTTGACCAGTTTTTAAAGTAACTTAAATAATTTTTCAAGAACTATTTGAATACTGCTGTCACATAATATTTAATACATATGACTTGTTCCAATACATTATAATATCAATAATGAGAATGTTTTCTAGATGTATTTGTAACCAGCTCAGAGACATGAATCAAGATCATTTTGAAAACGCTATTTCTTTTGGATCCTAATGAAATTATGGGCATTTTTGTAGATTTGTAGTTTGTAATTAATAAACAAATGTTGACATATGCTCAAGTCTTTTTAATAGAATTTTAGAGTTTTATCCAGACAGACAAAAATCAAAGCCACACTCTTAGCCAGACTTCGTAAAACATATTTAGCCAGACTTCAAGCCATAATTTCTTCTAGACATTCAACAAGACTTAGAGCCAGACTTCCAGCCAGACATTCAGCCAGACTTTCTGACAAACTTTGAGCCAGACTTCCAGCCAGAATTTCTGCCAGACTTTCAGCCAGATGTTGAGCCAGACATTGAGCCACATTTTCCTCCAGACTTTCAGCCAAACATACAGCCAGACTTGCAGCCAGACATTGAGCCAGACTTCCAGACAGACTTTTAGCCAGAGTTTCAGCCGGACATACAGCCAGACATGCAACCAGACATACAGCCAGACTTACTGCTAGACTTCCAGCCAGACATGAGGCCAGTTTTTGAGCCAGAATTTCAGCCAGACATACAGCTAGACTTCCTGCCAGACATTAAAGCAGACCTTAAACCAGACTGACTGTTAGATTTAGCCAGTTTTTCTGCCAGACTTCCAGCCAGACTTTCTGCCAGACTTCCAGCCAGATGTTGAGCCAGACTTGCAGCCAGACATACAGCTAGACTTTTAGCCAAACATTCAGCCAGACTTTCAGCCAGACATACAGCTAGACTCCCTATCAGACATTTAGAAAGTTTTTCTGCCAGACATTGAGCCAAACTTCCAGCCAGACTTTGAGCCAGACTTCCAGCCAGACTTTGAGCCAGACTTTTAGCCTGACATACAACTAGACTTTCTGCCAGACTTTCAGCCAGACATACAGCTAGACTTTGACCCAGACTTTGAGCCAGACATCCAGCCAGACTGTCCTTCAGACATTGAGCACAACATCAAGTCAGAATTCCAGTTATACCTACTGCCAGTTATTAGGCCACATATCTAGTCAGACATTCAGCAAGTTTTTCTACCAGACATTGAGCCAGACTTCTAGCCATAGCCAGATACACAGCCAGACATCAAGCCAGACTTCGAGACATACATTTGGTCATTCTATCTGCCAGACATTGATCAGAACATCAAGTCTGTTATCCAGCCATACTTACTGTCAGACATTAAGCCAAACTTCCAGTCAGACATTTAGCATGTTTTTTGCCAGACATTGTGCCAGACTCCCAGCCAGACATTCAGCCAGTTTTTCTGCCAGACTTTAATCATATTTTACATATTTATTTGATTTTTTTAAGAGATATTTTTTTTTTTAAATAGCAAAGATACAGCATGCAGTTATCACTAGTAGTACACTATTAATTCACGTCACTGAAAAATTATAATTAAAAAAAATAATTAACGTGTCCTTGATAATAAAATCGTTAATACTGTTAAATACGAGAAGTTTTTGTATACTGTAGAAATAAATTAGCGTCGTTGTGAAAAAAGTGTGACTGTGACGTATTATCTGGACTTCGGACTTCACACTTTGTCATTTGTTTTTTCTCCATTTTCACGTCTACTTGATCGTTGGTTCACCAGCAAACTTTGTAACTTAATACAGTACTATAATATTTTAATCGCACAATTAAAACTTACAAAATAATAAGTATCGAACTATTGTTATAAAAACAATGTAAAGATAATGACTGTAAACATTTTTTGGTTAGTTTTTTTTTCGACTTAAATAAGGAAAAAAACATATTTTTAAATTTACA